AAAATCTTAATATAATATGAATCAAAAACGACACTTATTGAATGGCCGGTATTTACTATGTGTCGTTTTAGCCCTGACTCACAACCTGTGAACACAAACCATCTTACACTTATTTGTATCCCTCCATCTTTCCTTCCCATGATAAAACGGGATGCGTAACAAAAATTTCAAATCGGTAAGCGATTTACTTTCGCTTATCCAGGTATTACTATGTCGCGGGTTTAAACGATATTAACTATATCTAATATCAAGAACCGATTAATGTTAACTAATTTTTTTCGGATATCTTACTCGATTAGAATAATCGCTAAATCACGACAAATATAGGAAAAAAACGAAATATGATTTTTTTATATTATTATTATTAAACTTGCACGAAACTTTACATATTACTCTTTCACTTATTTATACTGTCAATATAACTATTACACATTATTACATAATTCGATAATCTAATTATTTTAACCATCCGCATCATCGTACCCGGTCCAAATATGTCGGTTAACGACAATTCACGTGGCAATATGTTTTCAATATATAATTAGCCTAGGGGTGGCTTCTCGGTTAGGATTCGGACTGCTGCTCGATTACGTTCTGACAATTCGATTCTGCTATTAATTTCAAAATAAATAAAGAATATATATATATACATATTCATTAGAACTTTCGACAAAGTAATCATTTATACGATTTTCCCGTGCTGCCAGAAACAGCTGAGAATTTGTCGAATAAAACAAATTTTCATTTGTATATTCTTAACGCGGTCATTAATAGTCGAAGTCAATACTTACGCGTACCATGCGCCTATATTATATCGATTTATCATACAAATTAGTTATTAATTATTAAACAAAATCATGTAAAAATAAGATAAAAAAAAAAAATCCTAACCTCCCAATAAAGTCAGAAAAATTCCAAGCCCATTTGTCGGCGTTATTGTTAAATTAAATATCACGACAGCCAGAATAATAGATAGTACTTGTTTTACATTACCAGCTACTGTCATGGTTAAAGCTGACGTCTTTTTATTTGCTGTGAAACTTACAACGTTAAGAAAGAAGGCGATAACACCATTTGTAATAAGTGCAAAAACCAATGACATTGTCATTTCCGTCCGACTAAAGGCACGAACTCGCTGTAATTCTCCGGTAACATAAGCATAAATTACAGTTTGAACGAATGCTAAAGGTGACATGCGTAATAATAGATCTAAAGGGTGAAGCTTAAGCCGACCAACTTGAACTCGGTTTGTGACAACTGTCTTCAAGGCGGCCAATATTGTACCAAGAACAGTTAAAAAGAATCCTGTATAAACATACATAAACATATATAAATTAATTAAATATTAAAAATCTTACAACTACTTGATCAAATATTAAATAAAGATATGTATACCCATTTTAGTGAAATAATAATCTCCTACAGTCGCAAATACAACTCCCAATACAACCTATGAAATGCTTCATTAATTTAATTTAATTTTATTTTATTTATAGTTTAATTAAATTAATCTCTCACCGGTAGCAAAGAGATATATGTCATAGTCGTGAATTGCTTTTTTAAAAAAGTAATTGAAAGTACGATCGTAAAAATTGGTGTCATCGCTCGCACAACTTGATGAAACTATGATTTAAAACTTTGATCAGTATTTATGACAAGAGTTATTAACCGTCAACCAAGAAGAAAAAAATCATTAAATATCATTTAATAATCCAGGATAATAAACAACGATATCTTACCGGTACCGTAACCAAATGTCTTTTTTGAATTATCAGCATAATAAGTACACGTATTAAACAAGCGATATGAATAAAATTAGCTGAATAAAATCCCTTTTCCCTTTCCACTTATACCATGACAATTCATTAATTGCTCTATATCCCAGGATTCAAACAAACAAAGGCGATTATCAATTCAATAAAACTTTTACTTACAGGGATACATTACTGATAGCAATGTTTATGGTATACAACACCGTAAACAAAAGCATCACCATACTCTCTCGCTCACTTAGCCGTGCCGGTGAAAATATTCCTAGCCAATAAAATAAGTAAGAGCCAATCGCTCCGCACAATGCGTGCACTCCCGTTAATGTCCATGGAAATGGGAAATCAAATAATTGCATTACTGCCTTGTTATACAATGTCAGACCGAGGTTAAGAAAAAAGTAAAGTGAAAGCCACACGTATGATTGGTCTAATATATTTATATCCGCCATTTTGATCGGAATCACTGAACGACTATATTGACTACTCATCGGTTTCAATTAATGGTTAAACTTCAGACGAGATGCGTCTGAGAACGCCTATGTTGGTTTCGTACTGCTGGAGTATGTGTGCTGTTATTGTAAAAAGACTGGTTTTTACTAAGTTTGTTTTATTAGTTGCTGCTCTCCTCTTTCGATGTGAGCGAAGCGAAAAAAACGAAAAACGAGACCAATTATGATGCGCATTCATACTGTTTATATATCGTTGACACTGTATTTATTTATAGCATTTATAATAATAATATGTAAATCATAAATAAATTATACTGTATATATATTTATTTATAATCTTGCACTAATATTATAATCAAAAAAAAAAAACTTTTTCTTGAGAAAACAAATTTTTTGATATAATTACTCAAAAAATCAATATACAGTATTATTACAATATTTGTCAAAGCATTTATTAACTATATATACTTATAATTTATTAAATACAATATAATTATAATTGTAACACTGAGTTTGTATAATTGTTAAAATAGTTATTAATTTGCAGTTTAGTTTTTTTGTTTTTGAGAATTTCTACATGGGTATGGTACCCAGTATAATAAAAAAACTCCCAAGTCGCTAATATCTTAAAATTTTACTAATATAGATATTTTAAATACGGTATGTTTTTTAATAATATTTTATATAATTTAATAATATATAATATATAGTAAATTTTTTATTTTATTTGTTTTATTACTTTGGTAGTTTTACTTTGGCAATTAT